TAACTTATTCAGACATTTTAGTAACATGAACAGAAATTTTAAAAGGATGAAAGTTTTTACCCAGAATGTCACCCTCCAGCATATCAATTTGTTTGCATTTCATCCTCGCCTGTATGCATATATTGTAATTGAAATGCAAGTGAAATTTCATATTTTACTGTTGAACAAGTGACTTAGTCTTGTAACAAAAATGAAAGGCTCAGGATAAAAGAATTTTAAGTTATAAAGCTTGTGCTAGTTTGATAAACATCATTCTAGACATGTACAGACACATTTTAAAGGGCAAATAGATCATAAAATGAGATCATTTTTTTGAGAGGGCATCTCTCATATTTATTGATCAAATGGTTGTTAACAACAATAAAATTCTGTATAGGGGACTCAATGCACAATCATTAGTCAACCCCAAGCCTATTTCTCAATAGTCTCTAATCTTCTGAAGCATAACGAACAAGTAAAATGAGATGATTTTTTACATCCTGTTAAAAACAAGCACATGTATCTTTTTGCTTCTCTTGAGAACTAGTATCTCTTTTGCTTAAAAATGTACCTGAAGGTCAGCATTAATTCAGGTTTACTTTGGTTTCTTTTCCCTTATTATTAAGCAAAAGAGCTCACCAAGGTTAAGAAAAAGAAATTAGAGGTTTTAATTTTAACATACATATATTAGCTCTAGTACAACATAGAGTCACTTCCTGCTCTGAAAGATGAACATTGTCCTCCCCTTTCTGCTTTTTTACCTTCTGATTTTTATTGGTTTTAACTGTGTGTGTATATTTTGAGGCTGTATTACTGGTGACTGTTGTGCAATTATAGTTATCCTGGTTGAATAATCTATTCTTGACACATTTCTCAAGACATCCTGTAGACACTGTTACTTTTTTTTTCCTGGAAATTCACTGTTGTACAAGAAACATGGCCGCATGTTCTTACCCTTTTGGTGGGTAACAATTTATATGCCTTAAGAATCCATTTTTTAAATTCAATAAGTAACCATTAGGATGTGTTAGTGTTCATCATTCTATATCAGATTTTCCTTATCACAGAAGGGTGCCTCCCTCTGCAGCTTGATTTTTGCACACAGGTAACCATCCACTGTTAAGTGCTCCTCTTAGGTACTTTCTGTTTCTGTTGTTGGGCTCTCCATTTCTGAAACACAGTTGTATCTTTGTTAGCTAGTCTTTGTCCTCCGTATCTGTTACCTTCTGTCAGTCATCTGGAAGTCTTTCTGTTGATTTTATTGTACCTCACATTTTCCTTTGTACTAATAGTCCTTTTCCATCACATCTGGTCTGATTCTTGCTCTGTTTTGTTTCCTCAGCCTTTTCACCTCTATCTTTCCGGTTATCTATTCTTTGAGCCTCATATGTAAATTGGCTTTGTGTATTTTGAAGTTTTTCTTTAGTTTATGAAGCACCTTTTCTTGTTTTATTCTCTTCCTTACTGTCATGAGACTTGCTTTTCTTCTTTTTCCAGATAGTTCAAGGGGTACGGGTTGCTTTCTACCCACTGTTTTTCTGTGCCCTGAGGGTGTGTGTGGGGCAGGGCAAAATTGCTGGTGCTGAGGAAGACATTTGCTAGTGACCTGGGCTCTAATCTCTTCTGAGATCTTTTTAATGTTTTGTTCCATAACCCAGTCAGGGGCATCCTACTCGCGTGCGAACTTCTGCCAAGTTCACCAACGAAAGAGCCTGGGAAAACAGAAAGGGCCACCAGAACTTGCCAAGCTTCTGCTGAGGTCCAGTTGCACCACAAGGGACTTCTGTTGTATAGTTTTTTCTCTTTGACATTATTTCCTTGAGAATGGAGTATTGACTCCTCTGTTTGCTTCTCTCTAAATTGGCAAGGGAGGATGTAGTGAAGATTTAAGGTTTTTGTCAAACTGGTTTAATTTCCTTAGCAGTTTCTGTGCTCCCACGCTAGGAAAGAAATTACTTCTCAGAGATTGTAGCTTCCTGGTTACATATTTTTACAGTTATGGCATGAGGATATACCTCCTTGTTTAGTTGCTACAAATTGGCTTTCTTTTAAATGTTACTTATTTTACTTGACTGGGTACTAGGTTCTGGATTCTTCATACTACCATTCTGCTTCTCTCATTTAGCATTATATAATCATCAGCATTTTGATAGGCTTAGAAGTTGAGAGCATAATTACTATATATCAGTAATTAACAATTTAATTTATTTAACTTTTAGGAGGAGTTTGCAAACCAAAGCTGATCAGCAAGTCAAACAGCAGGAAATCTAAGTCTCCCATCCCTGGGCAAGGCTACTTAGGCACGGAGCGGCCTTCCTCTGTCTCCTCTGTCCATTCAGAAGGGGATTACCACAGGCAGACGCCAGGGTGGGCCTGGGAAGATAGGCCTTCTTCAACAGGTGAGGAACTTACAGCTAGAAAACGAGTCTTGCAGCAGTTACTATTAGTGCCTTGGTTAGCAATTCTAAAATCAGAAACTTTGTTCAGGTAAACTCTATTTCCATTATTATATCATTAATAGGTTCCACTTACCAGAATAGAAATTGAATGCCTATAATCTTAAAAATTTTAAGAATGCAAGGTCGGAATACCATGAACAAAGGAAGAGCTGTGAAAACATCTCACCCATTCCTCTCATTTCTAAAAGTGCCACTCCCAAGGCAACCCTTACCTTTAGCCTCCCATATAGACATTCTTACAGAAGGTTCTTAGAGAAATACTAAGAAATCAAAGTTAGAAGTGGGAAGACGCATTCAAGGAGCCATCATCTATACAAAGTGAAAAACAATACGCTAGGATACTTAAATGTTTGTATTTTGTGCCTGCTTGCAAGCTTATTAGACCATTCATGAAATTAATTACTGGATGAAATGGTATGTTTCCTGTTTTTAGTTTCTTAAGCTGTAGGAGGCTTTCTGGGGGCAATGGAACAATCTAGAAACTGGCAGAAGGTGGCAGTGCTGTCGTTAGGTTTGTGTGTCCCTCCTCCAAATCTTGTACATTTGCACATCCGCCCAGCATTCATCCTGCTGCCTCCTGACCTGCTGAAATTCCTGGATGCTTGTCCTCTCATCCTCCAGGAATCACACTCCTGCATTTAAGAGTCAGGAAGTTCTTGGTATAACTCAACTTTTGAGTTAAAGCTTCATATCCAGTGGTTCTACTTGGCTTCTCCATGGAAACACAGATTCTAGACTTAAATAAAAATCCAGCCTGAGCTTCACTTCTGGGCTCAGCAACTTTCCCTTTTCCACTTTCTGTGCTTTGCCATGTTATCTGTCCTTTCTAGTCTCACTGATCACTGCGTTACCACTAGCTACTGTCTAAGTGGTGAAACCTTGGCCCTTCTGTGTGCTTCATTTTTCTCTTAGTGTCACAAGACTATTTTGTCTTCCTCCATTCTCTGAAAGTTGGTGGTGATACAGCAACTCTGCTCATGACAATGAAAACCTAATTTTTCTTTTGTCAGGCTCCACTCAGTTTCCTTATAACCCTCTGACTATGCGGATGCTCAGCAGTACACCACCAACACCAATGGCGTGCGCCCCCTCGTCTGTGAACCAAGCAGCCCACCAGCAGAACAGGATCTGGGAGCGAGAGCCTGCCCCACTGCTCTCCGCACAGTACGAGACGCTATCGGACAGTGATGACTGAACCGCCAGAGAAGGGTCTTGGTGGGGCCAGGTTGTGGGCTTTCCGGGGTTTTCATGGCAGGTCACAACCTGCCCTCCTCCTATGACTTGTGCCCAGAGACTTTTCGGGAGAGCTTAGACCATGGATGATGAAAAAATGATGGAAATTTATTTCAGGAGTCAAATGGGGGAGGGGAAAGGGACTGTCTTTGATACAGGCAGCTCAGTGGACTATAATAGTGGGTTGAACTGTAGAGTTTTTAAAAAAGTGGACAATTCCTGTTCTTACATGTTTGTAAAGAAAACCATGTCTTTAAATCACTCTTCTGTAAATAGATTGCCTTTTTGCAGTGTTTCCCCTTGCTGTAGTATCTGGTGTACTTATGTTCAAAACAGCATATCAACTTTTGGGGGTAATTTTTAAAAACCCTCTCATCTTATCTTTTTAACCTTGCCTTCTAAACAACCTCATACAGCCCAGTTACATAATGTTGGCTGTCACGGGCATTGTACTTTTATCCAATTGTTTCCTCTAAATTCAGATTCCCAGTGATGTTTAAAATCTTGTGGAAATGTTTAGATTTTTAACACAGACCCTGTTGTACGATCTGTACATGACATATGAGGGTCAAAAGGTAGGACAAAATTCTGCCATATTGTAAATTTCCAGTGCAGGCTTTAATTTTTTAATTAGTAGCACTGAAAAAATATTACTGCATGGGTATGTTATAGTTTGGTTTTTAAAGTTTTAAAGGCTTATTTGAGGCATACCTCACTGTTATGCACACTGGTGATTTAACCATGCCCCTAAGTATTCTTTTTCTCCTGCAGCTGATGCAGCCCAACAGAGCTTTGGTTTTGAAATAAATTTGACTACCCTGTCCATAGTTACAGTAGACTTTTTGTGATTTAAGGCTGTTGATTTCTCAGGTCAAAGGAAAAGCTTACACTTTTCTTTAGTTTGCTACATATTATTGGTTGAGTCAGAAGATAGTGATCTGTGTAGGTCTCAGTCTTTCAGGTCTGCCTCGTGCTGCTGCCCTTGAACTTGCACGGAGCACTCTGTCCTCTCCCCTTCCCACCTGCCAGGGCTTACTCTCACTTTGATTCCTTGTGGGCAAGACTTTACTGTTGAATGTTTTCATTTCACTGAATCTCAGTGAACAAACAAGTTAAAAGACTGAATTTTAAACTAATCATGGTACTAGAGGGTCAGCTTTATCCTTCATCGATCATTGCTTGTAGAGCTTTTAGGTTTTTTTCTTCATACAGTTTACTCATCATTGAGATGTCCTGTAGCAGGTAGGCATTTGGGGAGAGTGTCACATAAGAGAGGGAGAAAATGGAGGTCTCTCAGGATGATAAAAATTTGCACTTTTCAGACTTAAGTAGATCTAAACTTTTCTTTTAATTGAAATATAGTTGATATACAATACTGTATTGGTTTCAGATGTACAACATAGTCATTTGACAATTACACACTCCTAAGTGCTCACCAATGCATGTGTAACCATCTGTCACCATACAAATACAATAGTATTGACTATATTCCCTATGCTGTACTTCATTACCAGAACTAATTATTTTATAATTGGAAATTTGTACCTCTTTATCCCCTTCACCTATTTCATAAACTTAAACTTTTTGACAAAAGTAGTCAAGCCTCTAAAGAAAGGTCTACAGTAAGTGCCTTATTTGTAATGAGTGTTTCATAGGTGTGATCGAGACCGTCACATCACCCTGTATTACTGATATTTAATCTCTACTTTATTAGAGGACGATGTGGGCTCATTCAGTACTGAATGATAGGGCATAAATCCACGTTTGTCTTAAGTTAAAGCTTTCACTCCTGTTAGTTTCCAGTCTTGTATACCTGAGGTCCTCAAACGCTAGATCAGGTTTAGGGATCAGATCCCCACTTGTAAAGTTGGGATTTTAATAAAATTTTAATGTGAATGAAAACAGTAACCAAATGTTCCACTTAACAGTTTCCTGCTGAAACTTTTTAGGTACTGTTAATATTTTGGAGCTTGTTAATAATTTATACTGTTGACTGACCCAAAGCGGTTTATAATGGCATTTTTTTCTGTGACCCCAAGGGTCGTAAGTTATCCTAAGAATAATTTTTTGAGAATACATCAGATTGGAGCCTAACTTGTTACTTTTGCAGGTCTACTTGAAGGACCCAAAGTGAGCAGCTGTAAACCAGTAACCCCATCCTCATCACAGAGCGGGTGCTTTACTTCATCTACTGTTACCTGGAGAAGTTATTTCAGAAAGGGAAATAAAATCCAGTATCATTTCTTAGTTCAGAACAGTGAAAGGACGGGATTCATGCAGGGCCTGCCAATGGAGCAAACCGTCTGGTAGCTCCATTAGAAGCACAGCACTAAGCGACTGGTAGCTTGTGAGACGTTAACTGTAAACTGAGGCACCATGCTCTCAGTGTTCTGACACTACACCCTGACGTGTGCAACTAAATGAAGGTCTTCGTAATACAGAATTCACATAAATTCTGACAGCCAAATTTTCTGTGCATGTTTGATTGGACATCATAATGCTTCCATTTTGGTACGCTGAGTGATTCTATTTTTAAAATACTTACAACTCAGAAATATAAACTACACTGTTGTAACAGTTCCCCTCTGAATTCAGGCCAGCTCTTCTAGGCTTGCTGCCTTGCTTTACAGCCGTCGGTGACCTCCTTCCCCGAGGCACCGCACAGAGAACTGCCTCTCTGTAAACTGCAGGTTTGCCCACACTGGGACAGGACCATGGGCTGAATCATTGCAGGGGTGGGGGTGGGGGTGGGGGAGGGGACCAAGATTTCTTAAAACCTGACTTCAGTAACCTCTGGCAGCTGTGACAAGGTAAAAACATTGTCAGTGGAGAAGGTGAGCTGACAATAATAAATTTTTAATAATCAATAAATTAAGACTGGGTTACACTGAAACTTAACCTACTTCATATTAGTTTCTCCAAGTTAGACTTGATTAAAGGAATTAGCTGGGTGGTAAATATTAAACGAGCTTCAACAGAAGTGGGAAAAAACATCTGTAAAGCATGAAACTCTAGTTTTAGCCTAATCCCTAAGGCTTTAGACCCCAGGGTTTCTAGTATTTTATTAACTCTTTAAGTTATTTTCTGAGAGACTCAAAAGATTACGGAATACATTATTGTTGCAGAGTCTCTAGTTTATTTGAAAGGGTTTTTCCAGTTTGTTGTACACAGGAACCAAAAATGCCAGGTTCCCTTCCCTCTCACACCCCACCCCAAAGGCACACAAACAATACTGTTTCCTTGAGGGACCAGGAAGAATGGCCTTTCCCCTAGGCAAGTGGCTCTCTGCAAGACTGCTGAGTAACAACATCCGTCTGTGTATCTTGTATTTATATCCTTTATATACTGTGAGGCAATGTGAGAAAGTGCTTTCGAGGGAACCCCATCTGTCCCCTACTTTACAGATGAGGATACTGAGAACCAAACTCAGGACAAGGACCCAGGTCAGTGACTCTCCTACTGTCTGTATCACAATTACTGGGGGGCTTTCAATGCTGCACTTGGGGTGCCCTGCCCTGATTCAGAAGGGTTGGGGGGCACCTAAGGCATGTGCATCTCTAAAGAGCTCCCCAGGTGACTGCTTCATGCTTGTGAGACAATAATAGGTGTTACTGGAAATTCCCTACAAAGGCATTTAGAGCTTGATCAAATTAAAGGTCTACTTTTCCTTCACAGCTCAGCCATACAGGATGTGGAGTGCTCAGACAGCTACAAGAGTTTATGTCATTCCTCTGCCCCCTGTTTCATTGTTGTAAACAACCAGCTATAAGCAAAAACATAGAGCTCACTTGTATTTATTATCAAATCTTTCAAGTGCCTAATTCCCATGTTAAAAATTCACACTGGATGCTGGTGGCAAAAATAAATATTCTTTTGCTCCTGTATGCATTAAAAACCACAATGCTTCCATGAAACCGGTAAGAAGTATAACTCACCATAATCGCTCTCTGCCATAAGACAGGTAGCTTTGGTCTGCCAGGTAGTGATAAAACAGAGAAGAGGGCAGCAAATCAGTGGATTATAATCTTACAATACAGGTACTTGGCTGAATAACTAATGGTTTTTATTATCCACCCCAGAGGAAAACTGGCCTAGCTTAATCTGCACTTAGACCCCAGCACAGACATAAATGACACCCATTAGAAGGCAGAACCAGTGAGGCATGGAAGTTGTTTTCTTTTAGAAAAGTGGCAGTGTATATGTGTGTCCTTCACCAGGCTAAGATGAGGAAAAGTGGATAGCAAGGACAAAGGATTAGACCACTGATTTGTGTGCTGAGACTAGATAAAAGGTGTTACTGGAAATTCCCTACAACAGAAGGCATTTAGAGTTTGATCAAATTAGGTTAAAGATCTGCTTTTCCTTGACAGCTCAGCCAACTCTTCCCTGATGTGCTGTATAGAAACCTCATCTCTTTTCAGCTCTGCTTGCTTCAGGGCTTCCTGGTAGATCTCTTTTGCTTGTGCATATCGTTCTAAAATAACCCAGAGAGAAGGGAGAAGAAGAAAAGGTATGTTTTCACAGTTCTGAAGACCACTGTTGACAGCAGAGGTCTAATTCACTGTACGCTTATTAAGTGCCAGGCTGGGGATGCCTCATTTCATCCCCATTTGACATCCCCTCAGAGGGTGCAGGCTGGACTGGGGGACAGCCCAACCCAGTGAATGCTGAGGGGTGAACTCTGCCCTTCCCAGTGTACCCCCAGGGACCTTACACCATTAGCCGAGGATCTCACCAACAGGTTATGTGGAAGAGAGACCTGTCATTTCGGGTTTTTGGGAAATCCCAGGTGCGGCCCTGAGCAGTACTAGTGGGTCAAACTAATATTCAGTGTCTTCCCAGCTTCATGTACACTGAGGAACTAATTACATTGTACAGGGGAAAAGTTTAGAAATCTTTAAAGCACCACAGAAATAGGTGCTATCATGGCAAACTTTTCACTGCTTTGATGTGGTTCAGCAGGGCCAGTTCAGGACTACAGAAGTCATATGAATTGACCACAGTGGTACTTTAGCCAGACATCTTCTTTGTATTATTCAGCCAGCCTTTTAATTCTGGATCTTTCTCACTGCCCCCTGCCCTCCTTGCACACCATTTCAGATCGATAAATCAAGTGACACCCCTCCCTAAAGTTAAAGCAAGTCAGTCAGATTTCCAGTGCTCCCTACCTCTGTGCATCAGAACTGCAGCTAGATTACTGAGCAGCATGTGGAGCTCAGGGTGTTCTGTCTGTCTCGCCAGGTCTGATGCCCTTTGCACATAAACACAGGCCTCGTCAAAGCGGCCCTGTGCATCCAGGGTGGTAGCCAGGTCACTCATCAGCACGATGGTCTATACACACACAAAAAAACAGCTTTTTCTTTAGAAACACACACAGATTCAGCATTAATTAGGAATTCGATACACTGAATATATACTTAAGATTTTATCTTTTCTAGCTTTCCAGGTGAGGGACATTAATTAGCCTTTAACAAATCATGGGCATTTATCATTCACATTGCACAGTGGGCATCATTAGTTCAACCCTCTGGAAAATGATATAAATCAAGAAACTAGGACAGGGGAAAATAATCACTTATTAATCTAATTATCAAATTAGATGTGCCAAATGAAAAATAGCAAAAGAAGCTATAAGTTCCCATCTCAGGTTGGCTAATCCTGAGAAGTCAGCCTCAGGAGTCTTATTATATTACCATGTCATTCTATTGGCGACCCTGAGTCTCATCAAGCAAAAAATGTATTATCATCCATTTTAAGAGCATCCCATTAAGAGATTTTTGGAACAGAGGCAGACCCTACCGCCTCCATTGAAGCCATGCTCTAAGCCCCAGCTGGGTTCTAGTACTTGGCAATTTTAATTCTGTGTTTGTCTTTTATACCTCAATAATATTCCACCAAGGGGACTCTATAATATAAAGTCCCCTAAATCCCTTTCCTGAAGATAACTGACTGCTCAGTAACTTGCCCTGCCCCAGCCTTGGAGTAAATTCAGTCCAGTTACAATTGTGTTCTGTAAGTTGGAGTCGGATCTGCTTTTTGCTCTAAACTTGAGACACAGAGAGAGGATTTCAAGTCAATTCAGTGCTTACTGTTGTAAAGAGCTTGCATGCTGTGCTTACTTTCATGTCCATAATCAACTTTTTTTTATGCAGGCCTGCTTGCCTTCTTTCCTCCACCTTTCCCTGGCATTTTACCTGGGGAAGAAGCGGGGTGAGGGAGGCAAGGATCTCTATCAGTGTGTTAAGATGTTTTTCATAAGATTCAATACCTGAAACACTGCTCTCTACTCAAGCCCTGGAAGCATGTGGGGGCCTTGGTTAGACCTGCCTTTCAGAAAGGCTGCTTTGGTATGTAAACTACTGCTTGTGCAAAATATTCTGGGCAGACCCGTATCAAATCCTTTTTGCAACAAGTGATGGGGGCCGGGGAGTGATGGCAGGAAAATGAATGGCCTGGGCCAGGAGGAGGAAACATGGGACCATCTGCTGCTCATCTGTGCCCAATGAGAATGGCATTCCACCCCATAAATTCTGAATCTTTTATCTTATAGTTCCTCTGTTTTCCTCCCTTACCCGCGGGTGTCTTTCTCCTAGTATTTCTTCAGAAATCTGCAAAGCTCTTTCATACATCCTTTGTGCCTGTGACGGCTGCTTGGAGAATAGAAGGTAGTGAGCATAGGCGTCTAAGCACATGCCAAGGAGGAGGTGAGTATTGGCTTTCTCTTCCACTAAGAAGGAAATAAGATCATTGCTGGGATACAAGTACAATATCGAAAGTGAGACAGATGCGTCCAACCTACCCTAATCATTCTTTTTGTTACCTAGACTCACAAATATTTTAACAATACAGGACCCGTTGAATGTTTCATGTCACTTAACAAATACCCCTAACCTTACACTGTTATTCAAAGGTGACAATTTAGGTGGATTAACATCTAAATTGGTTCCTGGTAAAACCACATGGATAAGCAATTTGGTAATACCTAGTACATACACCCCACCAATTCCACTCTTGGGAACATACTCTAGGGGATATCTTGCAGTGTGCACAGAGACACAGGTCCAAGAACGGTCACAGATGTGGTATTTTCCACAGGGAAGCAGGCAGAACCTACACGTCCATCAAGTGCAGAATGCTGGTACACTCACAGTGGAACACTGCCCTGCAGCTACAGTGACTGAACCAGTCAGGGCCCCTCTACCTGAATCCCTCCTTGGGAGGGTAGAGAAGAGGCTCAACTCACCACTCAGTCCCCAACCCCAGTGGACTAACAAGAGGACATCACCCTTCAGACACATGCAACTGAGCAGATGTGCTCCAGAGAGCAAAAGGGGCGTTTGTGCTAGGAAAACTGATGCTTTAGTCATCAACATGGATGAATAGCAGCAGCATAATGCTGAGTGAAAAAACAAACTGCAGAAACGACTGTAGTGTAATACCATTCATATATAATTTTAAAACATTAGCCCCATTGTAGATTGTTTATTGATATATATGTGTAAAAAATAGGCATAATAATGTAAAGACCAAAACCAAATTCAGAATAGTATTTATACCAAGTAGGAGTATAAAGGGTTTAAACTTATAAACAAGGATCCTGAAGCACATCTGGTAAAATAGGTTTGACAAAGCTAAGGGGAAGGTACACAGGTATTTGTTAAAGTCTCTACACTTTGTTTTTGCTTTAAGTCTTAAAAAGAAGAAGAAAGCATAGAACTGACTTTTCTGAATGACAAGTCAGTAATGTGGAATACACATTGGAGAGATTCCCAAAATACAAGAAAACTGAGGGAGGAGAGGATAAATGTAAAGGACAGAGAGAGACAGAGGCCAACTACAGGCAAATGGCATTCCTAAATAGAAGACCCCAACAAGCAGGACTGTAGCAATAGCCAAAGGTTCCACAGAAGCTCAAAACCATTTTAAAGGTTCACCACCAGACCAGGTACCTCCTAACGTTATGTTAATAAAACAGTTACTGACACCTACAAAGCAACCAGGCAGGAGAAAATAGGCTATCTATAACAAATAAGCATCTTCAGAATCCTCTGCAATAATTCCCATTAGGCCTAAAATTCACATCATAGAGAAAAAACAAATGGGGAAAGGGAAAAGTAGAAGAATGTTAAACTGTACTCATCTTACAGAAGAAACTGAAAAGTGTTTTTTTTCTCTGAGTCATGTCTTGAAGAAATGTTTAGTTTACCCCTAATAGAACTGAAACCATATTGTATGCCCTCCTTCCAAAATATGAATGGACACTTAGTGAGGAAAAAGTCCCTGTAAAAGGGACCTGAAAACAAATAAAAATGGAAAGCATTTTTCAAAATGCAAAAATACAGACCAAATATCACTTTTGATACTAATTTTAAGTAGGTTTTAAGACTCTATTACAAGACAATGATACATAAGGTTTTAAAAAGTCCAAACACAGTCTTCTACCAAAGATACATGGGAAACAAGATGACACAGATAAAGTTTAGGAGTAACATACAGACAACAAGGTAAAACTAAAATTTGTGACAAATACCTTAAGTAGGACAAAAAAATAGTATTTTCCTGATGAAGGAATAATTCACAATGAAATATCTCTAGGACTGTTAAAACAGCATTCAAACATGTAATAAGGAAAAAAAGATCACAAAAAAATTCTGCCAAAACAGCTAGACAAAATCAGCAAGGAATTAGGACTTGAACAACATTAGACCAACTAGACCTCGGGGACTATGCACACAGTACATACTACCCAACGACAAGGACACACACATTCTTCTCAAATGCCCACCATTCTCCAGGATAAACCACATACCAGACCATAAAACAAGTCAATACATTTAAAGGGACCAAAATCATACAAAGCATGTTTCCTGACCACACTGGAATGGACTTAAAAATCAACAAAAAGAAACTTGAGAAATTCACAAATTGGGAAAATAGTCAACACACTCCAAAACATTCCAAAGCATCAAAGAAAAAAAATCACAAGAAAAATGAGAAAATACTTTGAGATAAATTTAAATGAAAATGCAACATACTATATTTATGGGATGCAGCTCAAGCAGTAAAATGAAATTTATAGGTGTAAATGCACATATTAGAAAATAAAGATCTTAAATCAATAACCTAATCTAAGAAACTAGAAAAGGAGCAAAATAAGCCCAAAGCAAATGGAACAGATTTAATAAAGAGGAGAGTGAAAATAAATAGAAAATGGAAAAAATGGCCACTATCCAAAGGAAACATGTATTGGTGAGGATGTGGAGAAAAGGGAACCTTCCTACCCTGTTCATAGGTATGCAAATTGGTGCAGCAACTATGGAAAGCAGTAGAGAGGCTGCTCAAAAACCTAAAATTAGAAATACCATTTGACCCAGTAATTCCACTTCTAGGAATTTACCTGAAGAAAACAAAGTCTCTGATTTCAAAAGATGTGTGTACTCTGTTTAGTGATGCATTATTTACATCAGCCAGGATATGGAAGCAATCAAAGTGTCCCTTAACAGACGAATGAATAAAGAAGATGTGGTTAGCCATAAAAAAGAAAGAAATCTTGCCAAATGGGACAACATAGACGGACCTAGAGGGTATTATGCTAAGTGAAATACGCTAGGCAGAGAAAGACAAACACCATGATTTCATTTATATGTGGAATTTAGAAACAAAACAAAATGAACAAAATAGTAATAGACTATGACACTGAGAGGTGAGAGAAGTGACTAGTGGCTACCATGGGGGAGGGGTTGGGGCGGGTGGGTGAAACAGGTGAAGGAGATAGTGGCACACAATCTCAATCATAATATAAATTAATCACAGGGATGAAAGAACAGCATAGAGAATATAGTCAGTAATACTGTAACATCTTTGTGTTGACAGATGGTTAGCCACACTTAGTTTGGGTGAGCATTTAATAATGTAAATAAATGTTGAATCACTGTTGTATACTTGAAATCAATATAATATTATATATCAATATATTTCAATAAAAGAGAATATATATCCTAAGGGGGAAAAGAAGTGTATAGCAAACTAAAAAGAGAAAAGGGAAAAGGCAACAGAGAAAATGAAGCCAAAATGTGGCTCTTTGAAAAGATGAACAAAATGGACAAAACCAAGGAGGAGCTAATGAATAGCAAGGTCCTTCATAAATTGAGAGTTGTCAACATAGTATAGAGATGATAAAATGTGGCTAATAAACATACCACATTCCAGCAAACTCATACACAGTACTTAATAATGAGTCACAGTCCTGGAGCATTTAGTTCCCACACCAGCTCTCTAAGGAGGACCTACTATCATTCATAACTCTGTAGAGGAGAAAACCAAGAAGCAAGAGTGACTTGTGTGTCAGCCACACTGCTCCTCAGTGGAAGAGCCAGAATTCAAATGCAGGCTCCGGACTCCAAGTGCTCCTGAAATCATATATGCCTCCAAAAATACTGACTTTCCAGAATGTTTTGATTATTTAAAATATGAAAATGAATGAAACTTTCAGCTCCAGGAAAGGGGGAAGAAGGAATCAATGGAAAAAAATCTCTTTGAAAGGAAATAAATCCATAAAATTAAGAATTGGGAAAAGAATGTGATCTCAGATATGGAATATGTAAATTATACTTTGAAATGGAATTCCTTAGGAAAGGTAGATCTCTAAAACTCTTTCATGCACTCACTCACTCAACATATACTTATTAATGCTGTGTTGCAGGCATTGTCCTGCTTACTGAAATCAAGAAAATGGGAAAACTTTAAATGTATGAATAATCAAGGAAGGAAGATAAACAGTTGCTAGGAAATCAACTCTAAAGGACATCTGGCCCATATGGTTTCAGAGATACTACAAGTTTCAAGGAATAGGTCATTCTCAGATAATATCCCATATGTATTCTAGAGCAGAAAATATAAAAAGCATCCCAATTCACTTTATCACATGGCAGCCCTGTGATGCAAGCACAAGAAATAAACAATACCGCTCACATAAAAAAATGCATGCAAAAGGTCTGAATAAAACACCAACATTAAGTATTATTCTGCAATATACAAAACAACCTATTACTAACAAGCCTTGTTTGCTCTAGATACATGATAAATCTATTCATATATTTTGGCACCAAATTAGATATGAGACCATGTCCATCACCACTCTTATTTAATGTCCTGGGGTTATATAGAGTCAGTGAACTAAATGTCTAACTGTGGAGAGGGATAAAAGTATAATTATCTGACAGGAAACAACTGTCACGATTCCCCAAATATGTAATTATATGTCTGGAAATAGAGTATCAATTTAAAAGCAAATAGTTTGGTCAAATGTCCACGTAAATGTAATAAAATAGCTGTCACATATTTTGTGAAAAAATCTGTAAGCAAGGGACATACAACATTCCTCAGTGGGAAGACTCAACACAGGAATATTGTTTTATTGTACTTTGCTTTACCACACTTCACAAAAATTATGTTTTTTTACAAACTGATGTTTGTGGCAACTTGCTTCAAGCAAGTCTATCAGCAGCATTTTTCCAATAGCACTTGCTCACTTCATGTCTCTGCATCCCATTTCAGTAATTCTCACAGTATTCCCAACTTCTCCACTATTACACTTGTTATTGTGACCTGTAATGAGTGATCTTTGATGTCACCATTGTAACTGTTTTGGGGCACCATGAACGGTGCCCATATACAATGGCAAATAATTGACAAATGTGTGTGTTCCGACTGACCCACAGATTGGCT